GGCTCACAGCCAACGGTACATATCTATAATATGTAAACACACACACTGTGTTGAGAGTCGTCCGATGCAGTATATATAACACTCATGCTATATCATAGAGGATTTGGACTAAATACTTGTTGAAATCCAGTACAATACATTATGCTGCATCAGAGGACTCACAACCAACGGTGAATATACATGATATGTAAACACACACATTTGGGTCAATGGAGTGAAGTGAACCTGCCATTGCGGTAATACAACACCAGTGTTGTACTGCATCAGACGACTCACAAACTCACATACTTGTTGAGAGTCGTCCGATGCAGTACAACACTCATGCTATATTACATAAGATTTGGACTAAATACTTGTCGAAATCTGGTACAGTACATTATGCTGGATCAGACGGCTCACAGACTATATACATAATATGTAAACACACAGTTATGGATCAATATAGTGAAGTGAAACTGCCATTGCTGCATTCTCTGCCTGTGTGCTACGGATATTTAGCTGAGAAAATGTCAAAAGTGTTAATAGAATGAAGTGAACCCCACCAATGCTGAGCTCGCAGGTCAGTCCAGCAAGTGTACTGAACGACTGGTCTTTTTGTAAATGCTCTCTCTGAGACTATCACAGTTATTAATATCCTTCTTACTCTTCCATATTGAGTGGTTTGCGTCCATCATGTCATGCTGGGACTGAGACTGTCTCACCCCATAACAACAAGGCATTTAATCAAAGTAAATGCATGCAATTCAAGTTCATCATGTCATGTTGGGACTGAGACTGTCTCACCCCATAACAACAAGGCATTTAATCAAAGTAAATGCATGCAAAACAATTTCATGAACATGAACTCAGACTACTCAAGTGTGTCACAATTATTTTTGGTTGCCATTTTGTGAAGAGATTTTTGAAATGCAAATTTTCAAAAATGTATAAGGGAGATCAGATGGTTGCCTAAATCCGGCTAGAAACAGTTATGTTGTGCCTTTGAGAGCACCAAATTGGTGCCTTGAATTTGGATTTAGAATTGAATGAAATTTAGTTCCAAATTTTAACTAACTGTTTCAAATCCAAACCGATACTCCCAAATATAACATTAATCAAAAGAACTACCAAACATTTAACTGATATCTTACTCTCTCCATCCTTTTATAAGGAATGTCAATTTTATCCATCATTTCTCACCAATACGATAAGTTTGGTAAAACCCTGATTATTAGAATCAATTCAAGTGTACTGTAATTGGGTTAAAGATAGATTTGAGAATGAGAGTCAACCAATTAACATGCCTAGACCAACGTAGTTATGTATACATGTACATATATGGAAATATATTGTAATTCTTTTTGTCATTTTCATTATCTTTCATGATCTTTTAGATTTCTGAAAAAAAAATAAATAAATAAACAGTTAACAAAATTTATGAGTAAAATTGTTTAGCATTCCTTCTTGTTGCAAAAGTCTGTTTTGAATTTTTTATTTTTTTTTTAATTATTATGTTTTGGTAACCCTAACCCACTTCAACTATATTTAGAGCATCTCCGGCAACATCTCCGATTGTGTTAAAAATACCCTTTTGAGTAAAATATACTTTTTTATCTCCAGAATTAGTTAAGATACATTGCCACCTCACCATATGTAAAATTGTTGTGTATTTTGCACAACCTTTTTACACAACATATTTTCTCTCTCCTCTCTCTTTCTCATTCTATTAATAAATCAACCCTATGTTAACTAAGTTTGTAAAAATTATGTAGGGTCTTGGGTACGACACTTAGATGGTTGTTATTGGCAGATATATTTTTATACAAAAGGTATAAAACAATGATTGACACTAAAAATAATTAGTTCAAAATTTTTGTGTAAATCTACCATAACACATCAAATTTACACAAAAAAATATATATATAGACAACTATCGGAGATGCTCTTACAAGGACGGTGTCATTTAGACCTAGTAGTCCAATCGAAGAGCCTAGATAAGATCACCAGGTTTTGACCACATCCAATGGATGAAGAAACTCTCGAATAGACTCATCGGTCTCATTATCTTTGTGACAATAATAGCGGATCATGTGTGAGTTTGATATGTCTTACCTAAAATAAATTAAAAAATTTTAAAACAATCATTCTCGCAATGTCCAGACATATATATGTGTTGTGTGTGCGTGTATAGCCTTCCATAGCAATGCAAACCAGAACTCAAAACAGCATTCAAATTTCAAATTTGTAATGAATGAACTGGTTCCAACTTTGAAAACTTTCATCAGTTCAAAGGTGGCATATGGCTGAAAGGACTAAAAGACGCTAGCACAAGACGATGTAAACTCGTTGATTCAACCAATCATAATGCAGTATATATAACAACATGATTGGCATCAAGAATAGATCTGACACGAGTACCAAGTACCAACCTTTTTGGGGCTGAGTACGACCATAAGGTCCACTGATGTACCAAAATCCAGATCTACATTAGCCTCATTTATGCACGTATAACACTATTCTAACTCCAATAATTTCTTACCGTGCTTCAACCTCCGTCTGAACAGAAGAAATGATGAAAAAGCACTGTATTCCAGTAAACTATCCTCAACAATAAAGCTATGTTCGGGAACACCGAATCATAGCCTTGGAATTCGTTCCAAATGCAACATAATTATGATTCATGGAAATTTCCTCAGCAAGAAATTAAGAGAAATAAACTATGAGTTTTGATAAATATACGGATCACAAATCTAATGTATCAACACATACGAGACGTCTCATGATCACTTTTTGTATTATCGATTATTGAACAAAACTACATGAAGTAGAATAAAATCCCACAGGGTTATCTCACTAGTCATTACCCACATTTATTTCAGAGAATAAACCTTTCGAGCACAAATGTGTTCATTCTTACGGCAAGAAAAAGGAATAGAAGACCTGAGCTTCAAAATTTTTAATTTCTGTGAAGAGTCAGTCATCGACACATCCATTACAAATGTAATCAATGAACACGGCTGCTAAAAAATTTCTTATAATATACAAAGCCTCCATGGCTTCAAATGAAAATGAAGGATTGCTTGTAAATCCCTGCTCAGATTCAACCAGATCAACTCAAACTATTCTAAGTACTGAAAACCTATGTTACGGACCTAGACTCGGGTATGTGTGTTAGGCACGGATATGTGAAGTTTCGGATTGATGAATTTCTATTTCTTTTCGGGAAAATTAAGATGAATTTAAAAATTTCCAAATAAAAGGCAAGGCTGTATACAGAAAACACTGTTATATATTCATATAATTTTATATTTTATAAAAAAATATATATATATTATGTAACATAGTGTTTAAAATAGGCATTAAACTCATTTTAAAGCAATAATCTAATTACATTGAATTATTAGATATGTTTTTAGGTACATGTCCAACCATCTTTTTGGTCACTCTGTTCCTATGCAGTCCCTGAATGGTAGTGGTTTGCTGGGTTGTTTTCGTGGGATATCCAGAGTTTTATTCTGGTGGCTGACTGGTTTAAAGCCACTTTCACAGGCCAATCTATAAAAGCTAAGGTCAGCAAGATGCTCTGTGGGCTGAGAGGAACACTAGGATGCACAAGGGTTCTTGCAAACAAGCTAGAACTGTCCTTTTTGAGGTGCTTGATGCTTCCAAGCTTAGAGTGGAAGACTTGTGTTTAGTTTTGTAATATGTTGCTTTTTTGCATGTGGGTTGTGTTCCTTTTAAGGGTATGCCCTCTGAGCTATTTGTACTCTTATGTTTTAACTTTTATCTTTAATAAATCTCATCCATTCAGGAAAGAAAAAAAAAATTGTCGGTCCCATATCTCATATGCTTGTCCGAGTATCATGTGTCCGACACAGATATTTCACATTCTTTTGAAGAGTCCATGTAACGTAGCTGAATATTGAGTCATATAAAATTCAAACAAAATCGCCAATGTTAACTCTTGAATTTCTTTGAGATTTTAAAAAGAAGAAGAAGAAGATTTACAAATCCAAGATTCCAGGAAAGAAGATCATCACCGATATATTGATTCTTTCCTCCCTTGATTTTGGATTTACTATCTCTATTATTCAAGAAAGGAAGACACTAAAATGTCCTTTAACTTGAAGCAGAAGTTGTGAGGAGGTTAGGAACATCTGGTGAGGAGAGATTATTATTGGACGCTTAACGAGATAAGGGAATCTAAATTACCCCGATGGGGGAAGATAAGGGAATCTTCATTATTGGTTTTAGTGAGATGGAGGTGTGGAGCGTGAGGGTCAATTAGAGCACCAATAGTGACTCCCTTGCATTTATGTTAAAGGGAAAAAACACACCTACCAACAAGTAAAAGTGGATTAATGCCAAACAAATTAACACCATCCCACAATAGTGGGCTAAACAGGTCACTGCTAAAACTTAACTAAATTAGTGACCAAAATCATTAACATCTTCTAAAACCTACTTCTCTTTAACCTACGTTCTGAGTTTCTAAGTGTGTACTTCAAAGCAACTTAATTAACTGATCTTTTACGGGACTATAGCTCAAAGAAAAGGAGAAGGTCAATAGGAAGTATTTGACATATACACGATTGTGGGGAAGATGGTGGGAAAAAAAATGAGAATCAAATTATCGTGGTGTTAATTTTCAATTTAAGTTTTACCCTTTATTCCTTTTCCCACATCCTACATTGCCTGCTAAGTTATTCTAAAGAATAAAAGAACTAAGTAAATGCTGCAATTATTGAGTCTCCACAGGACTAATATCACCTCCATCTTGTTAAATAACATAGGTGAAATGTTTAAGACAATTTCAAAGGGTATCACCTTCTTGAAAATCCTGTGGGCAGATTTCAGCATTTGCTAAACTTATACCCCTCCATTTATAACGCACTTGAACTGCATTTTGGTACACTTGGAATGGCCTATAAATACATAATTCTTAACCAAAGCTCATGGGGAACAGACGAAATTCTTGAAGCTTTTTTTTAGTTATGTAAAATATGGATGACATCTTCATGAGTATACAAGAGCACTGAGATTTAAGGAATGTCAGATTGCCATATACTTTATATCAGCAATCTGTAGGTAATTGGAATAATACATGAGAAAGAAAACATCAATTCACAGATTAATGAAAAAAAAAAAAGAACTAAAACAATATAACTAGTAAAAGAGCATCGGAAGTCTTACGTATCACAATTTTGGCACAAAAATGAGATTCTGAAATGGCTCAAGATCTACCATCCACATCGAATCCAGCCCCAGTCCAGCCAGGTGCAGAAGACCCTCTACCCTTAGGTACTGCTCCAATTCCCTTTCCTCTCCCATGGATCATACTTTTCTTCTTTCCTTTCCCTTCACCTTCAACAGATGGCTGTTGATTCTGGCCATTCAAGACTAAAACATTTCCACCATTTCCTTTGCTGGAACTGTTTTCAGCTACTCCACCGGCTGGTTCTAATGTACCAGGAACTGAGGAAGCATCAGGAGTTGGGGTACTCAGTGCAGGTGCCATCGATTTTCTATCCTAAGTACAGTATCAAGAGCAAAGTGTTGGCATTTTCTACATAACTATATATGCAAATACCTAGCAGAAATGTTAACATATGCATGCAACAACAAATATCATCCTTGAGTTGAAATCTTACATATGCATGCCACAAATATATATTATCCATGACACCACTAATGAGATAAAGCTTGCATTTCAGTTTGGCTATTGTATTAGCATCAAAGATACATGTCAAGGAACAACTCTCCAATGGCCCAAATAATAATAATAATGATGACGATGATGACAATGGCAACGCGACAAATCATGCTCTCATACACATGCACTCAGAAGCCCAAAGAAAGAAAGCAGTTTGAAGAGATGAGGGCATTGATGTAGACATTTTCACACCTAAGTCACTGTAGCTTTAGTAATAAAATGACAATATGATGAAATTGATTTATCTTTGTGCTTGTATTTCCATTTCACTTCAGTTTTTTTTTTTTTTTTTTTTTTTTTTTTGATAAGTAATAATAAAATAAAAAGGCGTTCAAAAGGAGAACGTGTCCCTTATACAAAAGTGGAAGGCCCCAGAGAATCCAAGAAAATGATTAAATCATCAGAAGAGGAGCAAGAACTCCTCTTTACATAATTGGAAAGAGAACGAAGAATGTAAAGTTTCAGCGTTCCCGTAGACGACTCTTTCCCTTCGAACATTCTACTATTTCTCTCCTTCCATATGCACCACTGTACGCAATGTGGGACAATTCTCCAAAAATCGCGTACATCACTTCTCACGCGACATCCTCTCCAGACATGAATCAAATCCTTAGTAGATTGTGGCATTACCCAACGCATGCCGAACAACCCAAGAATAAGATTCCAATAGTCGTTCGCCACAAGGCAATGCATAAGAAGGTGATCAACTAACTCCCCATCTTTCTTGCATAGGCAACACCAATTCACAAATCAATTGCCCCTTTACCTCAGGTTATCAATCGTCAGAATACCCCAAACAGTGGTCCAGACAAAGAAAGCCACCCTAGTTGGAGCCATGGATCGCCATATGGTCTTCCATGGGAAGTCACGGTTATCAAAATTAGACAGACATAAGAACAAAGATCTTACTTCGAAACGACCGTGGGAAAAGGGAACCCATGTCAAATCATCATAACCTCTGCCAACTCCCTCGGAGTCCCTCCTGCTGATACAAATGATAAAAAAAAACACATACCTAGTCCAACTCCCAATCCAGAAAAGAGCGTCGAAAGTGCACGTCTCATGTAATCCCACTACTCTCAAGCCGATAACAGTTAGCTACGTAGGTGTGTTTATCAACTGCAATACTGAATAATCTAGGAAATGTACGAGATAATGGCTAATCACGATACCATAGATCTTCCCAAAAACAAACACGACGTCCATCACGAACTTTGAATCTAATATGAGCAGAAAAGGCATCACATCCCTTCTGAATGGATTTCCACATCCCAACTCCTCCCACAAGAGAAACCGGATGTGTAGACCAGCAGCTAACCTCTTCCCCAAACCGACAAGAGACTAACCTACGACAAGGACGATGTCTTTCCCTCCCATATCTCCATAACCATTTACCCAAGAGAGCTTGATTAAAAAGTGTTCAAAATCATGAGAGAGAGAGAGAGAGAGAGAGCAAGACTGTGTATCTCTTGTATATATTAACCCTTAAGCCTACAGTGGCTTATATAAAGGAAAACAAATAACCTAATTATACAAGGTTACCTAATTACACAATGATCCTAACAACTATGGGTAATTACATAATGACCCAACATATATATATTTATATATACATAAACATTCTAACACTCCCCCTCAAGTTGAAGAATATATATCAAATAATCTCAACTTGGAACAGATAGTCCTTAACCAGTTATGACCCAATGCTTTGGTAAACATATCAGCTAGTTGATCTTCAGACTTCACAAATGGAGTAGATATGCTCCCACTTAATATTTTTTCCGGAATGAAGTGACAATCAACCTCAATATGTTTGGTCCTCTCATGAAACACAGGATTCGATGCAATGTGAACAGCTGCTTGATTATCACAGAACAATGGAGTAGGAGCTTCAACTGTGAACCCAAGTTCTTTTAGAAAATGTTGTATCCATGTCAACTCACTAATGGTATGAGCCATTGCCCTGTACTCAGCTTCAGCACTAGATCGAGCTACCACCGTTTGCTTTTTACTTTTCCATGTAACAAGATTTCCTCCTACAAATGTGCAGTAGCCTGTAGTAGATCTCCTATCTAAAGGAGAACCAGCCTAATCAACATCTGTAAAACCTTCCACCCTGAGATGACCATTTGATTTGTATAGTAACCCAAAACCTGGAGCTTGCTTGAGATATGGGATAATCCGAAGATCAGCAATCCAATGTGGCATTTTAGGAGCTCCCATGAACTGACTTACAACACTAACTACATATGAAATATTAGGTTGAGTGATAGTGAGATAAATTATTTTCCCAACAAGGCGACGAAATCTGCTCGGGTCATTAAATAGATCACCTTCATCAAACACAAAGTTTTGTATTTGAATCCATAGGAGCATCAACCGGACGACCACTTAACATATCCGTTTCTTCTAGCAAGTCCAACACATATTTGCGCTGAGATAAACTTATACCCTTCTTGGATCTAGCAACTTCAATACCCAAGAATTACCTAAGTTTACCCAAGTCTTTAGTGTGGAATCGCTTTTGCAGAAACAACTTCAACTTAGCAATGCCTTCAGAATCATCACCTGTGATTACAATATCATCTACATACACCACAAGAAAAATGAAGCCAGCTTTAGTGCGCAGGTGAAATACCGAATGATCGGTCTGGCATCTGTTAAGGCCAAATTCTAATGCTGCCTCAGAGAATTTTCCAAACCAAGCCCGTGGAGATTGTTTCAATCCATACAGGGCCTTTTTAAGGCGACAAACAGTGTGACGATACTCCCCCTGAGCAACAAACCCAGGTGGTTGCTCCATATAAACTTTTTCAACCAAGTCACCATGTAAGAAGGCATTTTTGACATCCAATTGAAACAACGGCCAGTTACAATTGGCAGCAATGGAAATAAGTACCCGAATAGAATAAATCTTAGCAACAGGGGAAAAAGTCTCATCATAATCAACACCATAAGTCTAAGTGTACCCTTTGGCCACTAGACGAGCCTTCAACTGCTCAATAGACCCATCATGAAGGTATTTAACTGTGTAAACCTACTTACAACCAACCGTTTTGGAGCCCGAAGGTAAGGGAACAAGATCCCATGTTTGATTACTGTGAAGGGCATCCATTTCATCTACCATGGCTTGGCGCCAACCCGAATCAGAGAAAGCATCCTGCAAAGTCTTGGGAACAAAAGTAGCAGACACTTTAGATAAAAAAACAAGATAAAGATGATGAAATATGACTGTAGGAGACGAAGTTAGAAATGGGATGTGCAGCAACACAAGACCGAATACCTTTACGGAGAGCAATAGGTAAATCATCAAGCAAAGGCATCGGATCCGAAGAGTCTGAAGGAGATGGAGGGAGTGAAGTAGGCGGTCGAGGACGTCGAGTATACACCTGTAATAGGACAACAAAGCGAGGAGGTGCGAAAGCAGGAAATAGAGAGGGAACCAGTGGCAGAGGTGGCTCAGGAGAAATATCGAGAGTAGTAGTAGAATCAGAAAAATATGGAAGAGACTCATAAAAGGAGACATCAGCACTAGTAAAATAACGTTGAAAATGAGGACTATAGCAATGATAACCCTTCTGAGTGCGAGAATAGCCAAGAAAAACACACTTAGTGGCACGAGGGTCGAGTTTATCAAGACCGGATCCAAGGTTATGGACATAACACACACAGCCAAAGACCCTAGGAGTAAGATTAAACGATGCGGAGTCGGAATATAGAACAGAATGAGGAGATTGACCTTTTAACACTGACGAGGGCATCCGATTAATAAGATGACATGCCTTAAGAACAGCATCACTCCAAAAATGTTTGGGAACATGCATATGAAATAAAAGAGCACGACAGACTTCCAGGAGATAACGATTTTTACGTTCAGCTATTCCGTTTTGTTGAGGAGTACAAGTACAAGAGGATTGATGAATGATGCCTTTAGCATGGAAATAAGTCTCAAAAGGGTCTGAGAAATATTCTTTGGCATTGTCAGAACGTAAAATTTTAATGGAACACCCAAATTGAGTTTTTATTTCTTTGCGAAAGATTTGAAAAATAGAGAACAACTCAGAACGATTTTTCATTAAAAACAACCAAGTCATACGAGAATGATCATTCACAAAAGTCACAAAATAACGAAATCCATTAATAGAAATATGCTTTATTGGTCCCATACATCTGAATGAACTAACTAAAAAGGACTAGCAACACGATTACTAGCTCTCCGTTTGAAAGATATACGACAATGCTTATTAAGCTGACATGCTTCACGAGACATGGACTCAACACGACTAAGACCGGGGACTTGATGCTGCAAAACTGAGAAGGATGGGTGGCCGAGACGATAGTGCCACTGGAAAGAAGACAAAGATGATTGAAGAGCTGTGGGAGATGGTGCAAGATCGAAGTAATACAAGCCACCTACTTCATGTCCCGTACCAATCTTCTTCTTCGTCTTGAGATCTTGAAAAATGCAACATATGGGATAAAATGTAACGGAGCAGTTAAGAGATTTAGAAATTTTACTAATGGACAATAAATTAAAAGGGAATTGAGGAACATATAACATAGAGGAAAGGGACATAGAAGAGGTGAGATGAACAGTTCCCAAACCCAAAACTGTAGTGGATGAGCCATTAGCAAGAGTAACACTTTGAAAGAAAGGAATAGACTGAAAATCAGATAAGAGATGAGAACTACCAGTCATGTGATCGGATACGCCAGAGTCAAGAATCCAAGGACTCTGACGAGAGGACAAGAGACATGCAGGGGCACTACCTGATTGGGCAAAGGAAACCATGGAAGATGAGGTGGAAGGCCGTTGT